TAAATAGACCACAGCTCTCTCCAAGAATCAGGGCAACTTTGTTCACCATCTGGTTGTAGCTTAGAAACTTACCACAACTGATGGCAGTGGAAGAAATGCATCACACTAGAAAGCAGGTGTTGAAAGAAGCACGTAGAAAAAGCAGACTGGTGCTTCACACAGCAGGCTGCTATAATGACAGAATTCTTTAACAAGCCTTATTTCTAAAATACTTCATGCATGATCAGTATTGTTCACATGTAGCCATCCAAAATGGACTCTAAGATCTTTAATATTAAATAAATTTGAGTACACTAAAAGGTATTACCTAATCTTCGGAGAATTTCTTGGAGAACATTATCTAATATTAGAGAAGTATCTAAGATGACAGCAGCAAAAAACTTCCCAGGAGGAAGTTAAGCAACAGCCCATGCCAAGCCTTGCTGGCGTGTGCTAAGGCTTGTACAACACTTTGGTTAAGAAGATAAACATAGCAGTAATGAATGAGGCATGAGTCTTGTAAAGAAAGAAGTGATAATTTAACCAGACTTGAATAATGTCAGAAAAGAACTCTTGATTATAGCATTTTCCAACTTCAGAGGGTATGACTTTGCTATGATTTATATAATTTCTCTCTTTTTGTGTGTATTTGTGTGTGCATGTGTCCTTTGGGACCATTTTTCTTTGTCTTGGGAATTTAAAAATGAAACACTAACATAAAAGCGTGACCAGAATGATTATATTTGTGTTTGCAACTATGTTTTTATTTGTAATATTTGATACATGATATTGCCAATTTTTGTTTTTTGTAAAAAGAGGGGAAATGCTGAGGATTACAGCCATGTTACTTTGTTTTTTGTAAATGTTGCAATGTTTATTGCTAATTTTTGTTTTTTGGAAAAAAGAGGGGGAGATGTTGGGGCCTTAGTAAGAATATATAGGAAAGTGGAGTTTGTGGGGAACTGGACCGACGCCTAGCAACTGAACACCTGGAGGAGAACCAATCAGCTGGGAGCCTGTAGCCAATGAGTGCTGCTCCTCAGCGCATGCCCACCTGCATGGGTATAAAGCCCTGCTACAGACAACAGCGGAGCGGAGTTGACCTCACTTTGTGTGGAGGTGTTGTTTGCTCTGGCTTGTGGGGAGGGCCCCGGCACTTGGTGCGAGAGTGACCCTCGACACCTTATTTCTAAAATACTTCATGCATGATCAGTATTGTTCACATGTAGCCATCCAAAATGGACTCTAAGATCTTTAATATTAAATAAATTTGAGTACACTAAAAGGTATTACCTAATCTTCGGAGAATTTCTTGGAGAACATTATCTAATATTAGAGAAGTATCTAAGATGACAGCAGCAAAAAACTTCCCAGGAGGAAGTTAAGCAACAGCCCATGCCAAGCCTTGCTGGCGTGTGCTAAGGCTTGTACAACACTTTGGTTAAGAAGATAAACATAGCAGTAATGAATGAGACATGAGTCTTGTAAAGAAAGAAGTGATAATTTAACCAGACTTGAATAATGTCAGAAAAGAACTCTTGATTATAGCATTTTCCAACTTCAGAGGGTATGACTTTGCTATGATTTATATAATTTCTCTCTTTTTGTGTGTATTTGTGTGTGCATGTGTGTGTGACATGTGTACATGGACATCATAAGTCACCCAACAAACAAGATCCGTAACATATTCAGAGCACAGATAGTTAAAAAGGAAAGTATCTGTATTTTGTAATTTTGTTGCAAATCTTGAGCACAACTGATCCACGAAATACTTTAACATGTGGAAAACAAGCAAATAAAAATCAAAATGCCCCAAAGAAAACCCAAATCCCGACTAACCAGTTTTCCATATAGCCACTAGCCAGATGCTAGAGCCACAGAAAACAACTATCCACCACCTTGGGTTCTGCTCCAACACCTGCTCACTCAGTCACCAAGTGCTCCAGACAAGGAATCTTCTGCATCAACTGTTGTTAAACCTCACAACTAGGATGAGATTTAGAGCAGGAAAGCAAAGGAGAACTTGACTGGACAACGTATGGAGCAAACCGTTCCAGCTGTCCTGCTGTGAGCGGGGTGTGCATGTGCGTGGACTAGAGGACCTCCAAGGGTCCCTTCCACACTCAGTGACGTTGCGTGTAGTTCTTGTTCCTTCATGCTAGGAAGGATACAACAGAAACCAAAACATTTTGAAGAAGGGCGATGAAGATGGCCAGAAGTTTGGGATGGCTTCTCTAGGTGGAAGGACTGATAAAGTCAGGAATCTTCAGACCGGAAAGAAAGGGCTATGGGGAGATCTGGTAGTGCCCCACAAAAAGCAGGGAGAAGATGGCTTACAAACAGCTCCCCATTCTCCCTTCCCACAGTAAAATTACAGGGCAACACATAAAGCTAGTAGGGGCCACAGTTAGAAGATACAAGTGGAAGTAGATCTTCATGCCACACGGAATAGCCGAGGCCAGAAGGGACCTCTGGACGTTGTCTAGTCCAATCCCAGTGTTCCAAGCAGGTTGTAGACGGTTCAAGGGAAGACTAGATAAGCACTTAAGAGACTGGCTGAGCTCTAATAAAAAGATAAATCACACAGGGCTGAAAGTAGTCGGGGAAAGGCTATGAGAGTATATGATGGGAAGCATCCTATCGGAAGTATCTTGTGTATTGTTCTTACAGGAATCAGACTATAGCCTCTGTGAATACAGAGTAGTGGGCTACATGGACTCTGCATATGCAACATCAGAGATCCTTTTTTTTTTTTTTTTAATCTAAATGAATGAAGCAAGCCTGTCTTGAGACATTTAAATGAGCAGTCTTAATCAGAAATTGATTGGAATCTGAAACTTAATGCCAAATTAAGAAGTTTTAACATCTGTCAGCTCTCTTCCATGGCAACTACTACCAAACTCCAAGGAGAGAGCAGCAAATACTGGTATCAGTATTTGTAAGAACTCAGCATAAATTTTATTATTTTTGAAAGATGCAACTCTTCCAAATGCTTCCTCCAAAGCAAAAGATATTCATCTGATACACTGTAAAGATGCATAAAATACAGACCATATGTATGAAAAGAAACAATTTCAGCTCACAGGCATTCAGCTTCAGGCATTTCTTGAACCCTCCTAACATTTACTTCCTCATTCACTAATTGAGTAGATTAATGTCTGAGTGTATGCTCTGTGGTATGTCTTTAAATTTAATTTAACCCTGAATGACAGAAAAAAATGCATGCATGCATTATGTATTAAACTTGTATAATTTTGTTATTCACATTTTGTAATTAGTACTAATTAAAATTTCTAGAAAAATTTGAAGTATTTCATTCACGAGTCTTACTGTGACATCTCAGAATGACACTCATTCTCCTTCTCTCATAGGTGAATTTAAATTTTTAGCTTAAAAATAAAATCTCCCTTTCTTTTTTCTGTATTGGAATTTCTCCAGAAAACATAATCATCACAGCAAGTTCATCAGGAGGAGTAAACAAGCATTTGTAGTAATAGCACAGAATAACTTCTACTGTCTCTGGTGCATTTTTCTCCCAAGCTTTCTAGCCTCACAGAATGAAGACACGAGAGTTTGGAAAACCCTTTGAAACAAAATTCAGAACATTTGGACGTTCAACTAACACTGATGATGACTGCCCGGGCACCTTATAAAAAAAGAGCAAAGCACAGTAAAAGAACAAGGTTCTAGCAGCGTAGTGACAAAATAAAAGTGGCAAAGAGGGACACCTCAGTAATGCTGGTTTTCACACGCAAGATACTCAGTCTGCTTCAGGTACTTTGAGACATTCTAAAACTCTCCACTAGCTTCCTATGTTTATTAAGAAGATGGAGAACACAGGTTAGCAGGAAACAACCCTTCAAGCCTATCTTTATTTCAGTGCCACTGATGAGTGTGACGAAAACACAGACCATTACTAAATCATAATTTTTGTAGTTTAATTAAAAATGTGCATTATAAAGCTGTCAAATGATTACATGCAACAAGTAATGATTATTATCACCTCAAAATTAGCTCCTATTTTTAACAACAAAAGTGTTGTCCTTAACTTTCACTTTTGGCCACAAAACAAAACTAATATGTTAAACAGATGATTATAGTTATGTAAGATATTTATGCCTCATACTATGTGTATTAAAAATATTTTTGTTAAGATATTAAAATTTCTATAAATGTAGAATTCAATTTAGATATTACTCAGCTGATATACTCACTAGGCATACTAGACTAATTAAAACGTATTAAAAATGTGGAAGGTTAATTTTAAGGGAGCTTTGCAACAGTCCATGCATATAAATGCTAAGGATAGCCCGTACTTAGGTGGAAACCTTAAGAAGTCGGAAGAATGATAAACCATAGGAGACTTCTTTGAATATATGTCTGTACACACACAATACGCAAACTACTTTTCATCTAGATTTGGTTGCAAATTCACTTGCTGCGCATTGTTTCTCTTTAAGAACAAAGCACAGGACTATGAACATATTTATACTGGACTATGAACATATTCATAATATGATGCTGGGCAATTTTCAGAGCTTAGGTTGAACACTTAAAGATAGAATTCTTAAAAGTTTTTTCAGGTAAAGTGCATGACATGAAAGATTGAGTAATTTCAGATAACAGTATTTTTTGAGTACCAGAGTTATTTACTTCATTGTAAGTGATTAAGGATTTTTCTATTGTTTATAATTTCAATATTAAGAATGTAGTTTTCCAAGTTTTGCAGATGTCTAAAATGAATCAACATGTCCCTGCTGGAGCAAGGGGGTTGGACTGGATGATCTCTAGAGGTCCCTTCCAGCCTCAACCATTCTGTGAATCTGTGAATCTGTGAACGTAACATCAGAAAACTGAAATAATTAACCCTGATTACTTTAAAACTTTTTTTAAATCATCTGCCACGCTGCTGAAGTGCTATTAAATTCAATTGATTTAACATACTGCATGTAATAAAACTGCCCAAAATTCTTAACTGATCAGTGTATATTAATTGCAACAGTTGTAGTATTTTTACTAACCTGCAATGAAAGGTTCTGCCAGGTCCATCCACACACACGCCTCCATTGTAGCAGACAGCTGAGTTCAGTGCAGGTTCATTGCAAACATCAATATCAACTTCACAAAATTCCCCAGTGTATCCACTGAGGCAAGTACAAACAAAAGCGTTATCCAAATCTTGACAAGAACCTCCATTAATGCAGGGAACAGACTCACATTCCTGAGGAGATAAATTATAACAAATTGACTACGTTTGCATCATTCCTTCATTCATACCTAAAGGAACACCAGGAAGAGACCAAGGAGTTAGTCTGGGGATTACAGAGAGAGTGGTGGACTTTACTGCCTGAAACACAAAAGCCTCCAACTGGGGTTTTTGTTTTAAACAAGATCCTTTCTTCGATCCTCATACTCAGCCTTAAAAGCATGCTTGCTCCTACTTATTAATCCTGGAGAAACACAAGTGTATTTTTATGTAACTAGCCTTATAGGCATAAATATGCTTCCTATTCATGATTCCCTTACTATTTTTTTAAAGCATAGTCTTGAGTTATCATTTATGTTATTCTACCTGTTTAGCTCTGTTTTTGTAGTAGGGTCTAGCATTCAGTAAAAAAGCTGTGCCTGTAAGACAATTCTGGACTGAATACATAGATAGCTTACAGTAACAAGTACATTCTCCTTTATCAAACAGTGCTTTTCAAATAGATACTTTCTGATTAGCAATTACTATGCATCACTGCAAATAGAAACATGTAGACATTTTCATGTGTTCACATAATAACAACTCACCAACAAATTAATTAATAACAATTCACTAATAAAGCTTATGTGAAAATCACTAAATTTAAACCATGCAAACTAGCAGCAAATTAGTGTTTTACTACAGAGTTCATTAGAGTTTAATTGTACAAAAGTGACACTTTACCCTGGTTTTTGCCTGTATCTTAAAGAAGTTTTATATTTTGCTAGCTCGAGCCACTATTTTAAAAGCTAATTTATTCTCACATTTCCTTCACTTTAGAAGGGTTAACTCCTTAAGGATGTCCAAGGGCACTTATTAAATTTCCTGCAGGTACTGCAGTTGCTTTGACAGAATGCAAATTCAGATATCCACAGGGAATTATGAGAAAACAACATGTTTTCCTATCAGCTCTCCAGCTGGGTGTATATAGGATGATTTATTAGAGAGCATTACATGAACTAATTGAATTACACATCCCATAGGAAGATGAGGATAGTTTCATAGACTGCCAAAACTCCTATGTCTAGGGTCTTGAAGTCTTTTGCTATATTAATTAGACTTGCTGTGAAATATAAGACTTTTTTGTTTTGTTTTAAGGAATCTCAATCCACAAATTAAACTTCTTGGCTTTTTTTTTTTTCCTATTCCAGTAACTTCTTTCATCTAGTTTTCTAATTTGCATTTACTTGTATCTGTATTAGTTCTATTTTTATAGCCTCACTCCTTAGCAGAATATAAGCAAAATCTATCAAATCAACAGACAAAATCTCTACCAAATTAATAGAAGACAGAGTATAAAGAATAACTGTGAAAATACCCCAAATCATCAGAGTTGTAAGGGATAGGTTCAAAGCTATAAAGAATTTTCAAAGCTCTGAATATGCCATTACAACCATACCATGTTCGAAATTTAATATAAACCCTTTTTTTAGTGCTCCAGTAACATTTTACAAGACCACACACGGTAACCAGAATTATTTTTTTAGACAAACATAAGAAAGACAGTTTTGTAAGACAGAAATCACAGCAATTACTGTACAGTATATTTGGCTCACTGCAGTTAAAGTTCATCACCAAACAATCAGGAAAACAGACTTTCTGTTACCAAAGCACTTACTTATATTCTGCACTGTTCTACACTCAGGCAAGAGAATTGTATCAGCAAACAAAAACAACTGTGTTGAAAATCCTGCAAACACACTTAGCCCAAACCAGGCAGGCTGCTACAACTCCACAAAGTGCTGGTACCCACAGTCTGAAAGAACAACAACATTAGAGAGCAACCTAGCTGTGACCACTGCTGGTTAATTTAGATTCTAGCAGGGACTAACTTCCATCTCAGCATTAGGAAATAGCTGCCTCTACAGCTAATTCCCAACTTGTTTGATTCTTTCAACCCATAAAGAAAAGCACCCCAAAGTACCTGTGCCATTTCAGGTTTGTCTTTCTTTTTATAGTGACCAACTTGTAACTACGGCCCCTCACCAAACAGTTCCCAAATGAAAGCAGGGATTGCAGAGATTTTAATGTTTTTAATGAAGTTCTTTCAATAATGCATTTTAGAAAGTGATTTGTTTTCAGAATATACTTATTTTACCTTAAACTTGCAGCAACAGGAGCAATTCTTTGGAGAAATGTGTCGTTATGTAGTATCACCTCTTGTTTTAAATAAATAGCCTTTGAAATAATCATGAGAAGAACATAGAAACTCTACAGGTCCCTCCCAACCTCAACCATTCTGTGAATCACAGAATCATAGAACCACTATGGTTGGAAAAGACCTTCAAGGTCATCAAGTCCAACCCTAAGCCCCTCAACAAGATGCCTACTGATCCACGTCCCTAAGTGCCTCATCTACACGTTTCTTGAACACTACCAGGGACAGTGACTCCACCACTTCCCTGGACAGCCTGTTCCAATGCTTCACCACCTTTTCCGTGTAGAAATCTTTCCTCATACCTAACCTGAACCTGCCCTGGTGCAACATGAGGCCATTTCCTCTTGTCCTGTTGGTAGTTATTTAGGAGAAGAGATTGACCCCCACCTTACTAGATTGGTTTAGGTTCCAAATGCCACACTGGACACCCATGTATTCAGCAAAGTAGTCAGAAATCAGTATTTTCCTTGTCTTTGCAAGGTTATTGGATGTACTGGCAGCACAAAAGTTCTGGTGTGATTTGAGATTCTGATATCGACAGAAGATAAGACACACACAGCAAGTTTCAACAGAATGTGGAAAAATAAGCATGAATGTACCAAAGCAGTTCAGTTCCGAAACAGAACTGCCAATGCATCTGTCTCCATCATCATATACTCCAAGGTACTTGCTACATGCATAGAGCAAGTGTCTCACTACATTATTTTTGATCCTATGAAGATTTTGTGTAAATTCTAACAGCATTTTGGTGGCAGAGAATGTTGAAAAAGAAAAATGACTAAAAATACACACACCGAAAAAAAATCACGACAAAATTCAAAATCAAAGCCAAATCCTCCAAAAGTAAAAAAAGAGCTTTTAATTCCTTTTTAGGTTTGAGAGCAAAGCCACTCCATTTAGAAAGCAGAGTGTTGAGATCTCCATACCCCACAGAGCAGCCACAGCACTGTGAGTCAGGGGAGTGCAGAAGTGCTGATAACTTTCTCTTCTTTCTCCTCATTTTGTTTAGTTCCTCACGACTTTCTACTAATAGTCACTTTAAAAAAAAAAAAAAAAAAAAAAACGATTCCCTCAGTTTTCTTCTTCAGCTAACACTCTGACTCTCAGGCTTCTCTGAGCACAAGCCAGAGGCACAGGGCTTTCTTGTTGCTGCCTCAGTGTGTGGGCTATATCCGGAGAGCTCTTCCAAACTCAAACTAGTGTGAGCTCATACGCCTATTGCACTCTTGTCCAAGAAATTACACAGTACTTCAGGCCTTGGAGATTGCTTATTTTTTAAGAAGAAAATTGAGATAATTCGGGTGTTTCTTTTGTGCAATCCTGTTTATCACAAACGGCATAGAAATCCACTGTTCTGTCAGAGCAGAGTGAGTAACCTGCCCAAACTAAGCTGTGCTGGCTAGCATTTTCCTGCAGCAACCCTAGTCTTTCCCTTGTCTTCTCTGCTTCCCTCAGCTTTCTGGCCCATGTCCTTCACAGGCAGCTTCAGACAAACCAGCCTTGCAGCCACCCATCTCCAAGAAACCAGCAGGCCACAGGACCTAGCTGCTGCTCTGGCCTCATCTAACCAGTTTGTTCTTTCTGTGAAGAGACTTGTTCTCCACCTCCTTGGTAAGGAGCACGAAATGAAGGTGCTCCTTACCAGCCCCAATCAGAATGGCGCTCTATCTACCCATTCTTCCTGCAACAAAGTAGCAGATCTGATGCCTGGGGTTCGGGTGTTACAGTGGGGCAACATCCCTCTTCCCAGCTCATTCTTACATCACAGATCTCCTTTTCACATGATGCTACACAGAGCATAAATAACATATACAGCTTAAAAAATAATTAGACAATTAGACAATTCTAATTCCCTACCTAGTCCTTCCTAATTCCCTACCAGATCCTTCCCTACCTATTGAAAACAGTAACTAGGATACTGTCTGCTGTAAATACATACAGACTATTCACCAATCCTTATTTTGACATGTGATGCATTCTATTGCATGGTCTAACAGGTTAGTACCTGTTTCTGCACATACTTACAATATAAGGCTTTACAAATGAAAAATAAGATGTGCAGCCTTTAATAGAGCTCGAACCTAGATTTCTAAAATATCTAAATATACAATATTATTTTGTAAGATATGTAAAAATGCTGTGTTAATTTAATGTGTTAATATGATTTTATAGGTTAGGTAAAGCAGCTATGGACATTAATGAGGCAAATAATAGATATGCCTTTTAGTTCCTTTGAAAGATACTGTACCATGGTTTAGTTTGTTTAATTTATCACAAGTGCAATTATCTGATGTAATGATGACTGCTACTAAGACCAGAAGACCCTGGTTTCTTTTGCTAGGATTTAAAAAAAAAAACAAAAGTCTTAGTTCAAACTGTGAGGTCCCCTAAGTTATAACCTTTTCAATCCACATGGGAGTGTAAAGTGCACTCCTTGTTTCAGATAAATCCCAACCGTATTGCTGCCTTGTACAAACTTGAGAATTACGTTAAGAATATATTGAGATGTTTTTAAAGATGAATGCTCCAGATGTCTATTTCTTGTTTAACAAACTTATAAATTAAGTATATTTGCTTTTGTTTCATTTTATTCCATTTTATAGCGAGCAAAAATATTGTAATTGATGTATTTCCTTTAACATTTTTTTTGCTTATATTTCTAACTACCCATTTTGTAGGTATATGGATGTATAATTCTTAACTTCCCCATTTTTTAAGTGCACCAAATATACATGAAACCTTATGTGAAATGGACAGCACAAAAAATCCAAAAAAATCCATTTTTCAAAATGCTGTAGTTTTTCAAAGTCATTCAATTTAAAATGTGTTTTGAATTACAGTATCTTGCTTTGTAATTTGGGATTATGGACACAAGAAGAAGAGAAAACAATGAAGAATTAAGTATTTTTTAGTCAATGCAGAATGCAGTGATCCATTTGGCCCAGTGTCGTGTGTCTTGCAGCAGCAAAAAAGAGCTTGTTTAGGAAGCTCATGTGAACCTGGCCAGAGGTTCCTGCTATGGAATCTCCCCTGCGCCTCCCAGCATCCAGAACTGTGGACTCAGAGATGCTGAACAGCACTTTCCTGACTGGGTCATTTCTTACTTGTTTCTGAACCTGTTGCCCTAGGACTTGGTCTAACGCCGTAGAACGCACTGCACAGCTGCCTGCCTCACTAGCCTTCTGCAGCAACAGTTCTCTGCCTTCTGCGAAAGAAGGAATTTCTTTCTTAGTCTTTCTCCTACAAGTTTCATCAGGCCCCAGTTCTTTTATTGCAGGATTTGATGAATAATTTTTCTGTATTTTAGCTTGTCTATCACTTCCATAATATTCTAAATTTTAAATACATTCTCCTCAGCCTTCTTCTCTTTGAACTGAATAGTTTCAGTCTTTTAAATCTTTTCTCACAAAGCAGCAATCTAACCCCTTCATCCCTCCTCTGCACTTCTCTACCTGTCATACCCTTCTTGAAAGGCAAGGTTCAGAACTGCACGGCACCCAAAATATGAGTTCACCCAGGTTTTACTTGGCAGTGAAATGATGCTCTCCCTTTTGCTCCCAGTACTTTCCCCTCTATTTACTGTTTTTTCACTGTTTTGGACTGTGACTGCACAGTGAGTCAGTGGTTTCAGAGAATTACCAATGATTGCTCCAGTTTTTCTTTTCTAAGTTGTAGCTGCCAGTTCTCATTTCAGCTGTAGACATGTTTTAGACTACTTTTTCCCCTAGAAACATTGTTTTAGACTGAAGTATTATCTATCACCTTCTTACTCCATTTTATGAGACCCTTCTTTCATTCCTCACCATAGTGCATCATTTGACTACTTGAAAAAAAGCTAACATATTCCTTAAACTTGAGTATTTCATTGTCCACTTCTCTTTTTTTAGCCTTATAATAGAAAAGCAGAATAAAGCCATTCTCAGCACCAATCCTGGGGGACCACATTGATGACCCTTCTCTTTCCTAAGTGTCCACTAAGCTTTACTCTTCACTTCCAACCCTTTAACCAGCTTTCAGTCTGAAGTGAGCTTCTCCTCTAGTATCACGGCAACTTAGTTCCTTTAAAAACATTTTTGTTCAACCTCAATAATAGCATTTTGAAAATCCATATTCCACGTAACACTCTTCAGCAGCACGTTTACTGACAAAGAAAGAACTCCAGCAAGATAACAAGGCAGGATTTACTTTCGCAAAACCTGGGCTCTTTCTCGACAGACTATCTTTATGCAGATGCTCCCTCAACCCAGACTTTATCATCTCACCAGAACTGAAGTAGCTTCACTGAGTTAAATACCTTGTAGTTCCCAGGGGCTTTTTTGGAATTACAGTGACAATCTGCTGCATCTCTATTTGCAATAACAGGTTACACATCTTGACCAGAACCAATAATTTCACTCTTGATTTCCTTCAGAAGTATTTGGATATTGCCACCTGCCCAGGCAGACTCATAAACACCCCACTCATATATTCAGCCTAACAATTCCTGTGTATTTCCTTCAAATTCAGCCATCTGCTCCAAACGTCTACAAGAATCTCCTCACCATATTCAGCAGTAAAAGTTAACCCAGAGAATTACCTGAGCCTCCCTTGCTATGACCTTACTATGCCTCAGTACTGTTCTTACACAGCTACCATCAAGCAATCCCACCAGGTCCCCATCTGGCTTCCTGTTTTGGTACTATACAGAACCTTCTACTGCCAGTTAGAGAATTCATTAAAATTACATTTTTGACTTTCCTGTAAACATCTGATCTAATATTTTTATGGATTACTCTATTATCATTTGGGCAGTCTTCTCATTAAAATGACACTCTCTCCCTGTGATAGCCTCTTTACCTTTCCCACTAAGCCATTCAGGGGTTTTGGACTGCTATACACTCTTGAATTTTGGCACACATTTTATTTATCCTTTTAGTACCTTATTTAATGGTCTCCAGGCTGCTTGTAGGTGTCTTGTGATTTTGGCCTGCTCCTCTTAAGTTATTTAAAAGTTTAGCTTATTTTTAAATAGTTCCCTTTCCTTAAATTGAATGTCTATATATACTAGATTTACTTGACTTCCTCCCATGCTACTGTTATAGATCTAATTGTATTACAGCCACTAACAGATGGCAGCTCTGACATTTTCACCTCTTGAGCTAGGTCCTGCTCTTTTCCAAGGCCCAGTAAGTATGAGAGAGATTGAGCTTGTTTGGTCACTCTTATGCTATTCGACACTTGTCAGCATTTTCCAAGCATCTAGTTAAAATATTTTCCATAACCCTTCTAATTTGCATTCAATAGTCTGGGTCTATTATAAAGAGGTACAAGCTGCCTTTGGTTCCTCCAGTCCCAAATTCACTTTCAAATGAATTTGGATTATATTTGTCTGTACCATTATTCACGCTTGAGATATTGAATCTCTGTCTGCCTCTTAGTTCTCACATGAAATTGGCAGTATTTCAAATAAAGCTACATGCAAGTCCTGGATTTCAATTTCCTGTCTAGCCCAAATAACCTGAAGAACTTCTCTTCTACACCTTTCTACATCACTGATATCAACCCAACACAGCCCACAACTGTTGGTTCCTTTCCAGTACACTCAAGTAATCTCTCTAGATCACACTGCAAGATTCACTAACTTTGCACATGTAAAGCAAACTACCTTACATCCATGTCTTCTTGGCTGTCATAAACCTAGTTTCCTGTGTACTTAATAATTGCATATTCCTACATTTTATGATCTTCTGGGCTGTGTAACTATCCCCGATGCAAGAGCATAGAGTGCATAACTCTTGATAGGTGTTTCTTTTTAAGATACCAGCTGATCAGTGGAACAGGCCCCTGGGATTTACATACTCTGTAGTAGCAGAGGGCTTGTGGCAGTGGAGACAGTGGAGTGTCTTGCAGTTCTCATTCATTTACCCGTGTCTATTACTCTCCTCTGTTCTAATCTCTGTCCTCTATTTCTTTCACATCACACATTATTACATCTAGAGTATCTCTAGGGAAATATAGTATATACACACCTTTTATTTTTAAATTAGTTACTTGAATCAGCTTAGCTGCATACACCTTCATACACAGAGATATGTATCTTCAAGACAAGGAAATGCTGAAATGTATGTACATGCATGCATTCCTTTTTATTTTTAATATATGAATAGTAAATGGCAAATGTTAATCTACAAGAAAAAAATCATACAGCACAAGCCTAGCATTATCATCCAGATGTGAACACCACTACTTATTTGTGAAGCCTTGCTCATTTCTGCAGGTTGCATAGGCATGATATATATGCCTGAGTGACCATCAAAAGGCATTACTTTTGCCCTTAAAATTATGACATCTTTAGCATAGTCTAATCTGGGAAGCATAGTACATACAAATAGAAAGAATATCAAAAAAAATGAAGCCATCCTTCTGACAGACTTATGTGTCAAATAAATATGTATATTGTTTCTTCTTGTGAATTTCTAATCTATGCATTCTCAAACACCTTGGTATGAAACATGGTTACATTTTGAATATGATTTTATGCAGTTGTCTACAGGTCATTTAATCTCTCATTCTCTCTTAAGGGAGGAAAGCGTAAATCATCAGTGCTGCCAGAGAAAATATTACCCAGGGGTATTCTGTGTTAGCATTGGCAACAGTAGATAATCATGTAGATCTGCAATATTATATCATGATGCACACTCTCTTGATTTAAAATACTTATTTTCTGACTTTTCATTTCTCTAAAGAGAAGATGGAGGATAACGTTCCTGCTAGATTTACTCCTTGTGTGAGACTGTAATGCATTTCCAAGAGGAAAGTTATACATCATACTTCAGAATTTTTTAGCTATCTAGTACTTGTAGTTGTAAACCAAAATCCAGGCGTGGCATCTACATGCAGATGTTGAAAAGAAGCTTGCACAGCATATGGGTACTTTTTCCTGACAATTCAGATAGACAGACAATACTACAACTCAAAAAGATGCAGATTTCAAGGCAGACCTTGTCATGAAACCAAACTCTTACTTAAAAGAACCAAATCTCAAGATCTGAAAGGTCTCTTTTGTAAAACATTCTACAGAATATCTGAAATAGTCTAAAAAGTCTGAATGAATCCCATGCTCTCCTGCAAATGTGGCCAATTTTCTAGGAGGTCTTTACTGTTATGACAGGTACAGCGATCTTCTAAGAATTGGTTTGCTGACCACTGGAACCTTCATGACACAGACTCAAATATCCAACAACCTTTCCTACAGTAATGCAAAATTACTCCTAAACCTGGAGGAGGGATTGGGAAGTGTATTTTGTATGCCATAGTTCCATCCCACAGAATCCCACAATTACCCGAAATGTGAAATTTTAAGCATGCCTATTTTCAGTGAAGAATACTGCACCCTGAGGTTTACTACTCAAATACAAAAATAAGCTGCAGCAAATAGGGCTAGGAGAGTAAATGAGGTAGTTATATTACCCACGTTAAACTGAAGGATAAATGATTTTAGGGAATGTTGGCTTAGTTTTCTGTGGATTTTCAGAATTTTTACTCACAGATCTCCTTTAAAGATCTTCAGCATTTGTTCAATGCTATTTCTAATTTAGTTTCATATTAGTAAAACATAATGAGCTTTCCAGAACATATTTGAAACAAAATAATTTTTAAGGCATTTTCAACAAACTGAAACATTCAGAAGTTATTTAAATGAGTTTCAAGTAACATATTACTCTTTCACCTATAATAAAAGTAAAGTCTGAAGACATACATTAATATTTATCTCACATCTTGAGCTGGTCCATCCTGAATCACAGGAGCACTGAAATCCATCAACAAGATCTATACATCTGTAATACAAAACAGCAAAATTCAGATGATGGCAAAACTTTTGGATTTAGCACTAGTTGTATCATTCACTATCATTTTAAAATAGCGGTTTGATGTAGTCTATTGAAATTCACAGATTTTTTTCTTATTAGCTTTTATTACAGGTTTCAGAAGCGTATATTATACATATTGAGAAGTTTTATAAGGACACAGATTTTCACATTAAAAGACACCTTCCAATTTCTACATGTTGTTGAGTAGTAGCTAAAGATTTTCTTTTAAGTATATTAAAGTCTAATTAATCCACATTTACTGAAAACTGCTTTATGCTAATGAACACAAGTGCAAGAGGAACTGATATAACAGTATGTTACATTAGCTTAAACAGGCAACATCTGTCATCTTTAACTATGCTAATACTTCTATTTTATGGAAGAATATAATTAAAACTACATTAATCAACCTTCCCATGTCATTAAATCTTAAATATTACTTGTTAAGTACATTATCTTGGAGATAATAATAGTTAAATAAAAATAGCCACCTTCCATGAAGACAAGGATCTGGCAAGCATTCATTAACATCTATCTCGCACTTTGTTCCAACAAAGCCTCTCTTACAGTGACACTTGTAGGAACCAACATCATCGATGCAACTTCCATTGTTGAGGCAAGGAGCAGACAAACATTCATCTATATTTACTTCACATCTATCACCTGTGTAACAAACAGAGCAATTGCAAATAAGCTTTAAAATTTCACTCAAGCTGTTTAAAAGTTTATCTATTCCTACTGAAAACTCAAAATAATCTGTTTTTATTTAATTACATTGCTCATATAATTCACTATATTCATCTATAAGAATATAGGAATTCTCTATACATATAAACACCTGAGTATGGGTTTACTGCAATATATCACATTGAGAACTTCTGTAAATGTAGCAAGACAAGAAGGGACCTGGCCTTGAGGGCCAACTTGGAAGCAAAATAGCTAAACAAAAAATGAACATTCAAGAGGACATTTTTCTATATACAGTTATTAGAAAGATGAATAGCACAGGTTTCCTGCAAGAGAAATATAAAATGAAAATGATTTATGTCTTGGTTGTGGACTATCTGTAATACTTATGTTCTCAAACTGAATCTTAAATGCAGGGGCTTTAAGTAAATGATTCAAGACAGATAATGCTTTGAATTCGTCATGAAGAGAGATCCACTCTGGCGGTATACTTCTTCACTTGTAATTTTCCTGCAAATTAATGCCACATGTCTTCCATCTAAACATCTCAAAGAACAAAATACTAATTAACAAACACTACCTAGGGATAGCGTAAGATCATCCTGTTTGTGCAAGTGTGGGAGGTACGAAGGACAGGAAAAAGAGTATCTAAGACAAAAGGTTCTTCTCTGGAGCAAAGAGCCCATCAGACTGAAATTACAGCCATCCCTAACTACTCCTAAGGCTCACCATTTCACAATAAATATGAAAGGCATTTCTTGTCTCTCTGCAGTGAGTTATTGACTTACATACTTCCACCTATTTTTTTTTTACAATGTTCTCTTAGCTTTCCAATGGAGGCACAGAGGAAACAAGAGCCTGGAGTCCATTTTGCCATCTGTGGCCACCGCTCCAGCAGCCCTAGAGCTGGGGAGCTGTGCTGTAATGGGACGCGTTGAGGAAACCAAGTTTAACAGGGACCCCCAGGCAAGTGAACCCTCTGACAGGGGCTGCTGTATGATTCTGAGGTCGACCAAATCTTGCCTCGGTTACATTTGTCACATGCTCAGACATACATCTGTAAAAATTAAAAAGCTGTTCTGAAACCTGTTCTGCCTCCTCCAATGCAGAAAACGGCACTGAATATTCATGTTCTCTGGACGCTGGCGCTCATATGCAGCGTCTCTGCAACAGCCATTATCTTTTATACCTCCCTACATCTAAGAACTTAAACTACTCAGAAACAGGTATTTTGTGAACATGTTGCCAAAATCTAAATTCAAGAACAGAGCAGCCAAGTTCATCAGTTCTATTACAGAACATGTAATATCAAAGAGGCATTTTTCCTTGTATGTCAGCACTAGGAAAGAAAACATAGGCTTCAACAGAAGCTCATGTGCTTCATCTGCTCTCGTGAAGTAAAGCTTCAAAAGCACTGCCAGACTGGCAGCATTATTGACTAACACATCTTGAGTTTACCCTACCTGCAACTCTGAAGCTGATGGGTTTTTTTGGTAAACAAGAAATTCTGATCTTTGTTCATAAATTGGCTGCATTGTCACTCAATCATGTTTGTATTCCTGATCTTTCCATAGCTGCTTATCCAAATTGGTCTTAGCTTTTTATGCTACAAGCAAGTTTTCCTCTCATAAAAAGGAGAAGATATATAAAGGAAGTGGCTAGCATTTATGTATGTAGATTGTTGGTGGAGGTTGGATACCAAATGCTTACTAAAATATGGGATTTATTTTGTAAAACTCATTTTCCTAGTTAATCACAATTTTACTTAATAGGTTCAGGTCTGTGTTTTAAGAGTTACAGGTTCTGAATTCAAATGCAGTAATTTGCTTTTGCTAATGACGTATGTGAAAACAATAATCATGAAAATTAGTTTTAGTGGTCTTACGGATTTTTAAGATACACATTTATGATCTTATTACAGTTTTGGTCAATACCTGTCATTTCTATTCTAACTGCTCAGTTTAAACAATTTGTTTCATAAATAACCTATAAGTAATTCAATCTTACTGCTACTTTCCATTGCTTCTGTTGTTTATCATCTCCCCAGATATAAAACATTCACTGAAGGAAATGAAACTGATAGGAAATCACATTATGGTTTGAAAAAATAAGTTGCTAATAAGATATTTAAGGATTAGTTGAGCAATATGCCAGTAGCAGAATTCAAAATCACTGAATGTCTTTTGATTTTCTGTAACAACTCGTTAGAAGCAGGCCTGAAATGCCTCTGTGGCTGCAGCCTTTCATTTGAAGAGGCTGACGCATATTGGTATGTTGATACTGAAAAAAGAGTAGGGGTTAAAATAATGACTGGTAAGTAGCTCATATTCACATGAGCTTCCACTACTTCATAATTTATTCAGGAAGGAAAAAAAATAGTTCCTTTAGATGATTAACATCTTGTAATTAAATAAGTTCTCCTACACATTGTTGATCTGTCCTTATTAATCAGACACCAACTACTATTATAGTGATATTGAATTACTTTTTGCCTGAACTGCTCAATGAATGTAATGGAAATGTAAAATGTAATGAAAACCTACTACTTGATCATGGGAAAGACGACTGAGTGCATAAAATTAATATATCATTAAGTGATTACAAAATCATGCTTTGAAAGACAAGTATTGGAAAAGACCCATTTTATATCTCCCCTTTCATTCTTCAAAAAAACCTTATATTTCTAAGCTTACACAGAAAATTTAAGAAAAAAACAGAGATCACTTTCTGTCTCTCTTCTTTAAGAATATTTACATAATTCAGAAATATCAGGTTGTGGCAGAACATGTATGTTATCTATTTTGCTTTTTTTGTAACTTGCTTGAAGATTAACTTAGATACTATGTAATATATTTAATATTTATAATAAATGAGAATATATCAGAAAGATGCTATAGAATTGGAATTAAATTTGCTATATATCTTGAGTCAAAAAATATTTGAGGTGATAGATGACCTCTAGAGGTCCCTTCCAACCTTAAGCATTCTGTGATTCTATGATTCCACTGAATGGCACAAAAAGTTATTTTGTTGACTAGGAAAAAAAAATCAAACTTGGTAAAATAGTGATCAAAGTGCCAAATTAGAACTACTTTTACATATTAATCTACATTAATGAAAATGAATGCTTCTCTCTTGTGCGGCCTCTCGTCTTATGCAAAGGCCTCCATACTTCTCCTTGGAGAATCAAGTAAAAAATTCATAAAGAACTAATGAAAAAATATGCCCTCAGAGTAACAACATAAATTCAAGAAAAAGGTATTTATGTTAGTGTTCCAGGCTGTGTATGTTTAAGTAAGACATATGTCAAGGTTCTGCCATATTTTGTTGGTAGAATCTATCTGCCCATTCCAAGGATTCTTTGCAGCAGCCAAGGAAGGACAGCAGAATTCAGCCAATACCATCTTAGGGAAGCCGGAGTATGACATATCTCACTAATTTTAATCATTTAAAAATTAAGCAGCGGTTTAAAATAGAAGTCTAAACTCCCTCCATAATGAGTGAAGAGAAAAGCAGCTTCAAAGGGTAACCTGCATCATCTATCTATCTTAGACATCACACTTGCACACTCCCTGCTGTCGGCAGTGACTGCAGAGAAACCTGAATGAGTAATTCAGAGCAGGTGCTTAGTTCCTAGATGGCTAATGTTAGGGGAAATCAAGTCTACTTTTAATATAAGATGTAAACATAATTATCAAAGTAATTCTGCTGCTCCACAGGTGGTAGAATAATAATTTTACGATAGGCATGGCAGTATTCACTGTGCCCAGAGGTTTTATTACTGTCTGGCACTTAAAACGGGAGAAAATCCAGCTTACTTATAAGCAAAGAGTCTGGACGGACCAGCAAAAGAACAGTCAGACAAAAAAAAAAAAGATGGTTAAATGTCAGCATTGAAAATCTGGTTGCTAGCCAAAAGTGCCAAAATTGTACTCTCTGATGAATTCTGGTACTGCAGGAAACGGACTGGGAAGCTAGAGCAGTGCAACTCTGTGCTCGGGATAGGGTAGTACAACTCTGTGCTTGTTTCCTAAAAAATCGTTAAGATGAGATATAAAGATTGGATTCTGTTCTTGGAAAGAACAGAAACTTCTGTTTCTGTTAGAATCTCCATATTCCGCGTTTACTTGGAAAGCTTTATCAACAGACAAAATGGACTTTTATAGTCCTGCTAGCTCTAAACATTTCAGAGATTTGCAGAGCACATATATATTTTGTCATTTCTGATCTGAAAGGATATTGTGAGCATTGCTGTGAATACAGAGTACAATCACTGCAATAATGAGTGATACAATAGACTGAAAGATGAAAAAGAACACCAGTAACACAGGAAAAGTAAATAAATTAGAGAGAACTAAAGACTTCATTTTGAATTGTTAACTATAACAAAGAAAATAGCTTGCCAAATAATAGCTGCTATTTTAAATGTTCTTATTAACAACCACTAATTCAAAATATTTTTATACAGTTTTTATAGACAAAATTTAAGTTTACATTCTAAAATCACTCTTTAAATTCAGCACTTGTATTCTAATAATCTCTGAGCAAACTGGGCTAAATATGCTGCTGGCATTAATCCATTGTGAATAAATATAATAATAGTCTAAGACTTTAGAGATATCCGTTTTCATTAAATTTTATTTTTTGTCCTTAAATAATATATATGAACTTTGAGGAACATATTTGTTCCTTCAATTTGAAAGCAAATACAATAATTGTACTGACTAGACAGAAAATTATTTTAAGAACACAGGTTTAAGTGTAAACAATTCATTAAAATTATGAGAAACTTTTAAAACTTAACAACAGTTTAAAACAAATGTAACTGAGAGGCTGAAGTTTGTAAGAGACAAAGTCTCCCTTCTTTAAAACTATGCAGTTCAATATGGAAAACTTTCTATAATATATATATTCATATACACACAGACATATATGTGTATATAGGAATTAGTGAGAAACACTCATTTTATTCAGTA